TTCCAGTGGTGTGAATCTGTTTTGAAGAAACACTGCTCTGTCTTCATTTCTCTGGCTGTTAATCAGTTGTTTTGATTCCAGCTGTCACTGCATTATTCTCCTTGCTGGTGGAGAAAAGGCATTTCTTTGTAACTCTGACCATCCGTTGTCATTTAAGAGCTGAATCCTTCCTGAGAAATTTTTTGGTCTGGCCCCAACAGAGTTACAGCTTGACCTTCAGAAGCAGCTCCCATCTCCTCRTCCTGTGGATCTCTCCTCTCAGCCTTCTCACCCATTCGAACACATGTTGAGTCCTCCAAAGCATTCATCTCTTCAGAGGTGCCCAAAGTGGGGCCCGCATGCCAATTTTGGCCCACCAAGCCATTTGATTTGGCCCACCAGCAGTTGTCCTGGTTATTAKATTGCAATCTCCTGTCCTGTGTAGAAACACTATATTTCCACTTTTCAACTATTGGTCCAATTATAGGTACAAGGAGCTGAAATCTGATAGTCTTAACTCATGGCACTCACTTTATTTTTGAATTATGTTAAGATTGAACATAAAATACAAGTAACTACAAGAGACATTTAGATTTAAGCACACATCTAGATTTGCACACCTTGTACTCATACCACACTTGTAACACATATACTCAAATTTTAATTTATGAAAATCCCATGAGCCTTTGCTGCCCGAGCACATGTTGAATTTTCTCCATGTCCACGGGCTGAAAAAAAAAAGAATGTGGGCAACCACATTGGCTGCTAGCTTATTCATAAAAATAAAACAACTTAAGAAGTATTTGCATTTCATGTATTATATTACCGCATTTGGCCCGCGGCCCTCAGACTGATTTTAATTTTGGCCCTCTAAGGGAAAATGTTTGGGCACCCCTGTTCTAGACGATGAATCTTGAGCTCCAACACCTTCACCTTTTGGAGAAGCTGGCAAAAATCCTCTTTGGAAAAGTAAGGAGGYATCTTGAAGCTTTTCTGTACTCACTCTCAGCAGATGATGTTTCAAAATCTTCTCAGGTTCTTCAACAGCAAAAAATAAAATCCAATGTTCTCTGCTTATTCAAGATCATCCAGCATGTTTGTGGTCACCAGCGTATTTCTGTTGTT